TCTCTGTCCCTCCCTGTCTCTCTCCTTCTGTCTCCTTCCCTCCCTTCCCTCCCTCCCTCTTTCTCTGTCTCTGTATATGTGTGGTATCTTGAACCCAGAGCCTGAAGAATGCTAGGCAAGTGTTCTCATATACATCCCCAGACCTATGACTAAAACTAAACTTTTACTTTCTAGTTAGCAGCAGAAAACAGTCTATATTGTGCTAAACCAATCTGAAAATTAATTAATAGTTATATAGCAGTTATTTATCTATGTCCATGTTAAATATTATACTCTGCTCACTAATTAATTTTTTCCAACTATGGAAAGGCAATGAAGGTTTCTTAAACTCTTTTTTTTTTTTTTTTCTGGAACCAAGGATTGAACTCAGGCCCTTGCACTTGCCAGGGAAGCACTTATTCTACTGAACCATCTCCCCGGGCCCCCTTAAACTCCTCTTTAGAATCGATATCTACTACATCAAAGAAGAATGGTCAGGATATATAAAATCTGTTTACCATTTGGTACTTTGTTCATATAGAGACTCAATTACCATGAACATAACAGTTGAAAACTTAAATATGTCTGAATTCATTTTTATAATTTTAGGAAGGGATTCCTAGGAATATATATGCAAATTGTGAACAATTTCCCTGTGACAGCAAAAAGGTTTCAGTGCAGACCTCCTATGCTAACAAATTGGTATGGTTTGTACCCAGATGTCCCGCCAAAGCTTCTTGCAGTCATGGGGTGGGATTCTAGAGTTTCTGATTGATTTATGGTCCAATGTTGGGATTATGGTGTGAGTGCTGCACCAGTCCTCATCCAATATAAGGGAGGGAGGAAGGCCTGCTCCTCCCTTTCACTCTCCTTGCCTTTGCTGTCTTCCGCTGCCATGGACCAATGCCGTCTGCCATGCCCTCAGAGCCAGCCGAGCAAGGACTGAAGCCTCCACAATCTGTAAGCCATACAAACCTTTCCTTCCTTAATTTTGGGCATTGGGTATTTTGTCTCAGCAATGAGAGAAAAATGCCCAAGACAGAAACCAAAGTACACTTGATCTTAGTCAAAAGGCCGAGAAGCGATGAAACCAAAGTACATATTCAATAATAAATATATTTGTGGCCTCAAATGCCTGTGTAACTGCCCTTGGATTCTAAAAAGTTAACTAGATTTGTTAAGTTAAAAGCTATCTTGACTGAGGCTTACTCTCAAGGACTACAGACCTAGGAAGGAAAACAGTTTTCACTGAAAGCCAGGCATGGCAGCACAGGCCTGTCATCTCAGCACTTAGAGAGGCCAAGGAGGGAGGATTATGAGCTTGCACCCAGCTGGGCAACTTTGTGACTTAGCCAGATCGAGTCTCAAAAATTTTAATGCAGCTGGGGAGCAGGGAATGTAGCTCAGCAAAAGGCCCTGAGTCCCATCCCCAGTAAAACACACACACACACACACACACACACACACACACGCACACGCACACGCACATGCACATGCACACACACACAGACACACAGAGTTTCCACTGAAATAAAATTAAGAATATGACATCTGTATCGTAAGATGACTTAGAAAAGTGTTCTCTACGGCGGAGGGCTACACTGATTGACATACTGACAGGAATAGCAGCTGGGGGAAAGAGAGATGTAAGGCTATCTGAAAACAGGTCTGTGTCTAGATCTCAACTCACTGTGCTGTGTGTTACATACATGTTTCTCACTGGCACAGGGTCATTGACATTTTTGAGTTGTCATCTGCACCTGTCTGAGGCTCCTCCAGCACTGCCAGTGGGTATACTTCTTTTAGTCAAAGCTGCCCTCGTTGGAAAACAGGCAAGGAAAGCATCCAACTGCTTTATTCTGCTAGAGCAGATATTCAAGCAGCTGGATGTAACATGCTCCATGAAGGTCAGGAACACTGAGAAGAGCTGGCCTAGAAGTAAGATACCTGTGCATGCTGACGGTACAGCGAACAGACATTTCTAGCCACACTACTGGAAAGCATCTACCTTCTCATCATACACAGCATTAAAAATAGATTGATTAGGCTTTCTAATAAAGCCGGGTTTTCTAATGTAAGCCAGTAGGTTCCCAATTTTGTCATGATTTCAGGAGAATGAAACTAATATAAATGAAAGCAATAGATTTAGAAACGGCATGGTGGCACACACCTGTAATCCCAGTTTGGGGGGTGGGGGGGCTGAGACAGGAAGATCACTATAAGTCCAAGCTGCATGCAGAAACCCTATACCAAATAAATACAAGAATAAAAAACAGAAAGAAATATATTTATTACTTGAAAGTATGGCTATGCATGCAAACCCATCAACTGTGCTTAAATCAGTTTGTGAAAATCACATTTGGAGAGAGCTTAGGAAGTATACAGGTAAAATGTGAGAATTATTGCAAGAAGACACTATAAACAGATACTACATAATACCTAAATTTGTAAAATATTTCCTGGACAAAGCTTTCAAGTCTAATATAATATAGAGGGCTGTTTTCATTGGCTCCTGTGGCTCCTGATGTCTTACTTGATAATTATTTCATAAAACTGAGTACTTCTTAAACTCCATGCCTTATGTGTGTGAGGCAAGTACTCTACCACTGAGCTCTGTTCCTGGTCTTTTTTCTTCTTTTAATTTTTAGTGACAGGGTGTCACTAAATTTGCCAATCTGGCCTCAAACTTGCAATCTTTTGGCTTTATTCATCTGAGCAGCTAGGATTACAGGTATGTGCCACCATACCCAGCAAGTAGGTGTCACCAGACAGTGTCCAAAGAGGTCCCCAAAGTGGAGATGGGAAAACTTTCACTCTACTCACAGAACAGGGTACAAGTTCATTGACTTCCATCACAGAAAAAGAATTTTCAGGATATATCAGAAAGAGTCATGAGGGTATTATTAAGCAGAATTATAAAAGCACACACTCAAAGACAGGCTGTGACCCTCAAGGAAGAGGTATATTATATTCTGAGGCTGGGTGTATTAATGGGGACTTTGAGGGTGGAAATCTGTAGAACTTGTGCATCTATGAAAAGAGAGAATTCAGGGGCTGGTGAGATGGCTCAGTGGTCTAAAGCGCCTACTTAGAACAAGCTTAGCAAAAACAAAGAGACCGCGGTTCAATCCCCCAGCACCACATGCCAGCCAGCC